AGTTACCGGGATGATCCGGGACGATCCGTGGTGAAATTATTGTTGTGGTCACACTTACCCCGGCAGCACTACGGTTGTTCCCAACTAACCACCCAGGATGCGCTCCGGATCATCCAGGCAGAGCCCAGGTGAAGCTACGGTTCATGCCGGTGCTTCCCCGGTCGTAACCGGATGACGCCGGAAGAGCCCCGGTTGACACAGGCAGAGCCCCGGTCGTTCCAGGTAGAGCCCCGGCAGAGCCCAGGACGATCCAGGCAGAGCCCCGGTGGATTGAAAACGCCCGAAAATGATAACATTGATACATATTTTTTATTTAATACAATATCTTACATGTTACGAAAGTTTTTTGTCCGATGGGATTATTATTACCCTACATAAAGGTGGAGAAAAAGAGAAAAGACGATCCAAATAATTATCAGGCTATTTCTCTTACGTCAACAAAACTTTTTGAAATGGTACTTTAAGAAAGATGTACTGTAAACATAAACTTTTGGAAAAAATAAATCTCCAGCAAGGCGGATTTCAAGAACAACCGGGGTCATTGATCATGATGATGTCTTTTATATTACGTGAAAGTGTGTTTTTCTCACGGGAACAAGATAATAAACTTTATGTCTGCTTTCTAGATAGGCGTCAATCATTCGATCGCATGTGGCATGAGGGCATCTTCTACAAACTCTTAGAAGTTCATATCGACGATACGTCATTCCTTGCCTTTAAAGCAGCACGCCTCCAGATTCCTGCTAATGTTCATGAAAATTTTGAAAATGTATTCAAAAGTAAAATACTATTAAGCTGACAGAGAAAATAATATGCAAATTTCAAACGGTACTTACAACCAATGTAAATTACAAAAAAAGAGGTCAAAATATGCAAAATTAACACTTACAGCGTTAGTAACGCAGTAGAAATATGGTCAAAATTACTGAAAAAAATTGCCATCAATCGCAAATAACATGGAAATTATTACTTTTATCTTTAGTCTTTTTACTTTTCATAAAACCTCAATACATTTTTCTTTTCATTTTCTTGAAAGAGTTTGGCTCATCTGGAGGCATGCAGCTTTAAAAACTTATAACGTAACATTTCAAGCTGTGTAAGACGCTGAGGGTTCCTCTCAGAATCATTCCCTATACTTCAAGGTACCAGACAAGGAATGAAAAGTTCACCAACGCTGTATCTTCTCTATCAATCATTATGATCTTATCAATAAACTTACAAACAGTCACGTAGGTTTTTGTATGTACGGCATGAATATTTGTACAGTGGCTGATGACATGGTATTGGTATCCTTCTCAAAGAATGGACTAGATGAAATGTTGTCTATATGCGATGATTATTCGAAACGATAGCGCTTTGCATAAAACGGAACCAAATGTGGAATCATAGTCTTTAATGAACGTAATAATTTAAAATCATCACGGCAGTGGAAACTTGGTGCTCAGACAATTGAAGAAGAAGAAGACTATACACATCTTGGTATCAGTTGTAAAGACTTCATGTCAACAAAGAAGTCAATTCAGGATGCAGGTACATATGCAGGTGCAGCTACGGGGTACATACTTAAACATAATAAACAGTGAACTAGGTCCAAACGAACTTAACTCACTGACAGTCGCAGGTAAGGCACAGACATATTTTGCTCAATGTATAAGATAACTTTTTTAGCTTTTAAATCAGTTATTTATAGAATTTAAGATCTCTCTTAATAAAATAATTGTTAAAACATGAACTCTTCCATTAATATCATATTAATCATATATTAGTCGCCGGTAGAAATATAATAAGCCAGAAATATTACAACAACAGGCCAACAAAAAATTGAGAGGGACTAATGTGGGCTTAACCCCTTTGAACGCACTTCCAGAAATATGATAGTTTAAAACTATAAATTTAGGGTGTAAAAGTCTCCTGATCAACATGTGATCATATTTTAGTTGTTTATACTAAAATATCAAAAGTTAAGTATGTTATTAGATATAGAAATGTAATATTAACTCAGTGAAGTAGTGTTTGTACGTCAGATATATGTTTTTTTTACAAAAAAAGAAAAAAACATATGAAAACAAAATTACAGAAATGGCAGAGAAAATGAGATAAAACAAATTGACGACTCAGACTTAAAGCATAAAAAACTCAGCAGAAAAGCAAAAGAGAACCTGACTCCATAAATTCCGACATACCAGTTTACTGTGACGAGGATGACCTTATGGATATGGATATTAGCATTAATTTTACATGCCACTCCTGCAACATTCCTTTTGTTAATACAAACGCTATATAAGTTTAAAATTAAATTTATTTCAATATTCCATTGGACAAAATGGTCCATGAGGATAAACAAACGCATGATAAAAGACAAGACAGTGTAAAACATATACATACAATGCGTTAGTGTAAGTGGAGAAGGTATACACAAATTTAACATAAATAACAGAACAAAAGAATATTCAACGTTAAACATAATGCTAAATTAATTACCACTGTCTAGCAAAACTTACGGAGAGGTAAACTTCATACATTGTATTGAATTAATTTGACAAGATATATACTTATAGATGAAATATTAATGAAATAAAATGCGTATTTTCATTTTCCGTATTTTCACTGTAAAAAATTATTATATAATGCTTAACAATTTGTATTTGAAATGTTGTTTATGTTTTGTATGGATGAGGCTTTAATAAAGATATATAAAATCATTGACCTGTATATCTGATGAACTAAAGCGTTCATTTAAATCATTTATCTGTACATTTACAAACATATAATATACCTAATTATCCATTGAACTAAATCAAAACAATGATATACTCGTGTAAAACAAATCGATATAAAAGCCGTATTGAACTTATCAATAATTTCTAACTATTAATATTGATAATATTATATGACCTTAATTTAGAAGCACTGTTACCATACAATATTCATAAGAAAAATAAGCAAAAACAAACATAATTCTACTTAACAAATTTATTTGCTAATTTTAAATATTGCTTTCAACGCTTGTCCAGCAATGATATTTTGAGATTCTGCAAAGGATCCCCTGATGTGAAAACAATTCCTGAATATGTAAACATGCTAACTTTATCAATAAAATTTTCCTTGCAATAAAAATTAATATTTCTGGGCAAAATTCACCATATCTAAATATCATTATTTTCGTCTTACATGTGTTCACTGAAAGTTTCCATCTATCACAATAATCTGCTAAAACATTTAAACCTTTTTGGAGTTCGTTTTTACTTTTTGCAAGAATAACAATATCATCAGCATATAAGATTAAGAACATTTTAAACATATCAACATCAATACATTTAATTTCACTTTTTATAAATTTATCTTCAATGTTTTCAGATACATTCAGATACATGGGAAAAAGATAGGGAGACAAACACTCTCCTTGTTAACACCAAGAAAACATTCGTATGGGTCACTTAATCTACTACAATGTTTTACTTTTGTTTTTAATGTTGTATACATAGATTTTAAAATATTTAAATGTCTCCACTTAATGTCCCAGTTTTATCAACTTATGCCATAAATTATCATGAACAATATAATCAAACTCTTTAGTAAATACTGACAAAGACAAAAGAGTTGTTTGCTCTGATAGACATTGTAAAACAAAAATATTATCTAATTTAATTCAATTCAATTCAAGATTCTTTATTAAGTAACTAAAACAAGTTATGTTTCTTGTTACATGATACAATTAACATTACACATGACAAATACAAACAAGAGGGCCATGATGGCCCTGAGTTCGCTCACCTGTATATAGCCCCCCCCCCCCAATCTAAGCTCTAGCTCATTGGGCTTTTTAAAAGAAGATTTTTTTTAAGTTTTTACTATACACATATAGTTAAAAACAATGACATCGCTGCGGCCGGGCCAGTTTTGATCCCAGGGCTTTTATTTGTGTAAACTTTGTAGACACTTACTAGAAAATGTTTCATGCTTAATATCTAAACTCTAGCTATTTGGGCTTTTTAAAAGAAGATTTTTTTTAAGTTTTTGCTATACACACATATAAAGAAAAATCAAATGACCCCCGGGGCGGGGCCAATTTTGACCCCAGGTCTTTTATTTGAACAAACTTTGTAGACACTCACTAAAAGATGTTTCATGCTTAATTATAATATCTTAACTCTAGCTATTTGGGTTTTTTCAAAGAAGATTTTTTAAGTTTTTGCTATACACATATAAGGAAAATCAATGACCCCCGGGGTGGTGCCAATTTTGACCCCAGGGCTTTTATTTGAACAAACTTGGTAGACACCTATTAGAACATGTTTGATGCTAAATATCTTAGCCATAGCTCTTTGAGTTCTTTAAAAGAAGATTTTTTAAGTTTTTACTATATGCATATAGGGAAAATCAATGACCCCCCGGAGCGGGGCCAATTTTGACCCCAGGCTTTTATTTGAACAAACTTGGTAGACACTCACTAGAAGATGTTTCATGCTAAATATCTTAGCTCTAGCTCTTATGGTTTTTTAAAAGAAGATATTTAAAGTTTTTTCTTTCGGTTGCCATGGCAACCAGAGTTCTGCATGGAATTAAATTCTTTGAACAATTTTTAAAGGTGACCACCAAAGGAACATTCCTGTGAAGTTTGGATGAAATTGGCTTGGTGGTTTATGAGGAGATGTCATTTAAAGTAAAAGTTTACGGACGGCCGGACGACGGACGGATGCCGGACGAAAAGCGATCACAAAAGCTCACCCTGTCACTTTGTGACAGGTGAGCTAAAAAGACATGAATGATTAAACTCACTGAAAACAAGTAAGCATAATGAGCATATACAAGAGGATGAACTATGTACAATTTGCTTAGCTTTAAAGCAGCACACCTCTAGATTCCTGATAATGTTCATGAAAATTTTGAAAATGTATTTAAAAGTAAAATATTGTTAAACTGACAGAATATTGATGTAAACAGAATAAAAGGTATGTTCAAAATAACTATTTTCAACCATACATAAATTTAAGATCAATACACACCTGTATCAGATCAGAACCATAGTAGATTGTGAAAACACCACAATCAATTCCATTGTTTTGTCTTGGAACCTAAAATATAATTTAACATAAGTATTATGTCATTTTCTCATCTTGGAATTATACATTTATTTATAAATCTGGAAACAAAGTGATCCCCCGGAAGCATTAATCACATCAAAATTACAAGAGAATTGCAGACTCGTTTTGATACGTGCTACATCCCTCACGCCCCCTAGCACCGGCTGGAGCGGTACTCAATTCTCAACACTTAATAGTGCCGGCATCAAAGGAAGGACCAGAAAAATATAACAACATGAGCATTCAAAGTTGTATAAGAAAACAGAGCCTTTGATGCCATAAATTATCAAAACTGATGAAAATAAATAATTTGAATCATACATGAGTGTCATGAGAGGGGCGGGGGCATGGATTTAATAGCTCAGTACACACCTTAGGGTAGCTGACTGCAATATCTTGCACAACTCTTGAAACTCTTGGTAAGAAGTACCTGAAATAAAAAGTTGTAATGATACTAATTTTAATTAGAAACCAGTTTATGTGGGTTTTTTTAAAAAATATTGCAAGTGCTCTGCCTTGTTTTAAACGTTATTGTTTTGTCGAAGTAATTTCATTCTACATGTATTATATAATGATAAATTTGATATTTCTTCTTTAATATTCATTGTCCGTGTCGGTTTAATTATGTCATTATAAAATTGACATTACTGTTTAATCTTTGATGAGAAGTTAAAATTATATTGTGATGTAAATACGTATGAACTTTAAGAAAAAGAAGGGAACACAATGATATATTTGAAAAATTAATAATAAATATAGTGGTATAGTTATTAAGAAATTCTCATACAACATTTTTGTAAGATATTATTATTGTACTTGTTATCAATATGTATAGTAACAATTTTGCCATAAATAATTTCAGAATTAGTGTCTTAATTTTAGAAACTCTTAACTGAACCAATTGTACTTATTATGTTTAATTTAAGACTTATTACCGTTTCAGTGTGTACGCCACATTCTTGTAAGTCTGCCCTATTTCTTGGGCACAATGCCGCTAGGAACCAGTGGACACTGAAACAAATTCCAATTCTAGCATTACATTCCATCACATTTTTATACAAATGCTGTAAAAACTAATTATGTGAATATGAAACTTTTCCACTATTACGTATGAGTGTTGTTAAGAAGAGAAATGAAAACTAACATCATTAAGATTTATTATCTATTTAAAAGTCACACTTACTTATCGCAAATTGGAATGAGTATTATTTCCTTTTCACAAACTTCAAGGTGTTTGGTGAACTTGTCAGCCTCGTTTTTATTGAAGGAGGTCTCTGAAATTTAAATATATTATAGAGGGAACTTTAATTTACATTCTCTTTTACCATCAGCAGTGGATATTTCCAGAAAAAAATAGAATCATACATATATATTATTTTTAATATTGATGCATAATGTTCCTTGTTGTGATTAAGGTATAATATTTGTTGGAAGAACTGTCATGACTCTAAAGGTCTACATGTAAGATTTTACATGTATGATTGACTCTTAACATTTTTATCCAATGAAGCGAACGTTTGTAAAACAATGAAACAAAATGTTCTAAAAATTTCTTTTAATATTTTCTTTTCACCGAAATTTCAATTTTACAGTTGTTATTTTTTATGCTTTTAGGGAATCTTGATGTATGAAATCAAAAACTTAAAAGTTCCATTCCGTCAAGGTTAAATAGGTAAAATTACAATAACTGACCTCTTGTCAGCACATTTAGCGGGAACCATCAGTACCCTAGCAAAGTTCGAGTCTAAGACAAAAACGTCCTGTCTGCCCGACTGCTCTTTCTTATGTCTGTAAAAAAGTCAATCCCTAATCTATAAATAATAATAATAATAATAATAATAATAATAATGATAATAATAATAATAGTAAACTCTTTATTTAACGAAAGTAACTTATTAAGACAATACATCAAAGCATTAGATACAACAAATATAATGCAAAATCTTATTTTCAACAAGGCCTTCCATAAAACATAAACATAACAATGAACATATTCAAGCAATTATAAAGATTACAACATTCAGTAAATCATAATCAACAAAGAAGACAGACATAATATATTATTGTAACCAGTTCGTGTTTTTGGTCTTTTCGTTTATTTTAAACTTTTCGCATTTTTTTTTGTATATAATCTCCCTTTCATTGTAAATTTGAGTGATTAGTCAAGCATTTGATTTCCCGCTGTTGTTTAACCAATTATTGTGATCATGAGACGTAGTGTTCACTCTTGCTGAGTTGTCGAAAGTGAACTAGCTTTGCTGAACTTTATATTAATTTTATTATAACTATTTTGGTGTTTCCTGGAAATTAAAGGTTGAGGTTGGTTGGTCTTATTTATTACTATTGATTCATCTTTTTTGAGTCACAAATGAGCAATGCTTTATTTGTATTAATTTAGTATTTGTGTAAACATGTTTATTGGACATGTACCTTGTAATCAAGATGACAGCTTATATTTCTAATAATTTGGTAATTGGTACATCACTATTTACTATCTTGTATTATCACTTGTCAGTTAATAGAGCACAGTAAGGTCAGTGAGGTGAGTAACAGAGGTGTATTACCTATATATAAAAACCTGATCCACAATTGGTATGTAAATATATGTATTCTTTGAGTAATTTCATTTAAGGTTGTCAGTATGTTCATTAATTATTTTAAGTAAGGACTAAAGATATTTCTAGGCTTGCTGACTTGACCACAGTGTGAATTTATAACATAATATAGTTATATGTGTGTAAACTTATATATCATACATCAATAAATGTATTATATTCTTGTTATTTAGTAATATGTTTTATTTGTTTAATTTACAGGGTTTGAAAAATGTATAAATACTCGATCACTCGCCTTTTGTTCTATTGGACCCTTATACTGACTGCTGGCTGGGGCCAGTGTGGTTGGCCTTTACTTTTATCTATGTTTATGTATAGGGTTAACCCTAACCCTAACCCTAAACCCTATATTAAATACTTGGTATAAATTATCCTAGTTTTTATCATTAAGACGATTTTAGTAAAATTGGACATTTGTAATGCACCAGTTTTTATTTGTTTGGGTTGTCAGACCAAACAAATAATGATAGCAAAATTTCAGACTCTAATGCTGCTAATTGCAAGTGCCCAAAGAAGTCCGCTTTCTTTTACGAGGAAAAAAAACAATAATGAAAAAGTTTGTTGTAAAATCCATCCCGTAACATCCGTCCCCCTATATAAGATGCATACAAAATCTCACATAAACTGTAACTAACTGAAAAAAAAGGAATTTATGCTTAAACACCAAAGTAACAACGAACAAGAGCCACCACCGGGCGGGGCAACACTCGACTTTTTACTTTCTCTAAAAGCAAACAAAGAAATGTTTGAACAAAATCTTAACCTTTCCTTTTTTTTTATAAAATTAATCAATCTGTCTTGTCACATTCGTTTTGCCTATATATTTTGTATATATAAATATACTAATTTATATATATTTATAAATAGAAACACCCAATTCTATAAATAGTAAATTTTACAAATAGAAACACGCAATTCTATAAACAGAAACACGCAATTCTATAAATGGAAAATTCTATAGATACATTGGGTTGTCACATGGTGTCATGCGGTGTCGTCACATGGTGGTGTCACGTGGTGGAGTCACGTGGTGGAGTCAAGTAGTGGTGTCACGTGGTGGAGTCATTAGGTGGAGTCAAGTGGTGACACGTGGTGTCACATTTGATAAACAACAAAGTCTTGTCCTGAAGTATGTTCTGTTATAATATGAAGTTGATCCCTTCAATAATAGTAAAGTTACAGCCAGTTACAGCCAAAACAATGAAAATTTCAATAATTTGAACTTCAAAGTCAAGGTCGTTAATAAGTGAATGTCAAGGTCTGTCTGGTTATTTTTAAGGTTTATTATTGAAGATTATTATGTTCAAGTTTCAAGACAATCCCTTCAAAAATAACAAAGTTACAGCCAATAATAGCAAAAAAAAAATGAAAATTTCAATAATTTGACCTTCAAAGTCAAGGTCATTTATGAGTGAAGGTCAAGGTCTGTCTGGTTATTTTTAACGGATATCCTTGAAGATTATTATGTTCAAGTTTGAAGACAATCCATTCAAAAATAAACAAAGTTACAGCCAATAACAGCATGAACAAGCAAAATTTTGACTTTTAACCTTGAAGGTCAATGTCAATTATGGATGAACCCCATTCACTGAACCACAGGCTTAGTGCGCCGTGAAGCTAAAACGGTTTATGTGTGTTTTCACAAGAAAATATCATATTTGCTGTGTTCCAGATAGCAACTATAAAACTGTGACGCAGCGCATACATGAGCTGATTATGGTCTTCATTTGCATGTTAAAATTTGTATACGAACTTTAGTGTTACCGTGGGGTTTTCCCTTTAAAATCGTAATATGTGAACAAAATTTGATGAGATTTACAATAATACTGTTGAACAGGTTAATGAAACTGCAGAATGTTTGATTTTTAGGCCGACGGCATTTTTTTTATATATTTATTTAATGTAACTTTAAAGACCGTGCACATACAAAATATACATTCAAATTCCATTTGTTTTTGAAAATTGAGTGTTGCAATTATCACATGTAACCTGGTAGTGAAAGTTTGAAAATAAAGTTTTTTAATTATCACTTACTCCCTTCAAAAGTAATTAAACTTGAAAGAATTTAGGCTTCTTTTTTTATTTTGAAACTGAAATGATTATATTACCATAATAATAAATTTCAAATACATGTACCTGCTTTTTCTTTAAAAAATGTAAATTTACAGCGGATTTCGTCAAGTTAATTTTTTAATCGTCGTTGCGGACAGATAAACTGTATCTTTAAAAAATAAATTAAATATTTGAATTAAACAAGTATTTTTTCTTCAAAATAAACTTTAAATTTCCAAAATCGAATAATAAATGGAAAAGCTGTATGGTATTTTGTAAAGTAGGTATCCGTTGCGATTGGGCATTAATGCTTAGCGCCGGTAAATTATCGATCGATGTACCTTTATCTGGCGCACAACAAAATATTTAAGCATTTATAAAGAGTTAACTGGGAGTGTCTGATCCCTGTAATATAAATCCGTGTTTCAATATAACATTTGTGTAATATTAAACAAGAGGGCCATGATGGCCCTGAAGTCGCTCACCTTTATATAGGGCCCCGGAGCCGGGCCAGTTTAAACCCCAGGGCTTTTATTTGAACAAACTTGGAAGACACTCATTAGAAGATGCTTCACAATGTTAAGTTTTTATTTCACAATGTTAATTTTTACTACACACATATAATGAAAAACAATGATCTCCCCTCCCCCCTCCCCAGGCAGGGCCAATTTTCACCCGAGGGCTTTTATTTGAACAAAATTGGTAGACATCCATAAGAAGATATTTCATGCTAATCATCTAAGCTCTAGCTGATTGGGTTTTTTAAAAGAAGATTTTTAAGTTTTTACTATACACATATAGTTAAAAACAATGACACCCCAGGGGCGGGGCCAGTTTTGACCCCAGGGCTTTTATTCGAACAAACTTTGTAGACACTCACTAGAAGATGTTTCATGCCTCATATCTTAACTCTAGCTATTTGGGTTTTTTCAAAGAAGCTTTTTTAAGTTTTGCTATACACATATAAGGAAAATCAATGACCCCCGGGGCGGGGCTAATTTTAACCCCAGGGCTTTAATTTGAACAAACTTGGTAGACACCCATTAGAACATGTTTCATGCTAAATATCTTAGCTCTGGCTCTTTGAGTTCTTTAAAAGAAGATTTTTAAGTTTTTACTATATGCATATAGGGAAAATCAATGAACCCCCGGGGTGGGGCCAATTTTGACCCTAGGGCTTTTATTTGAACAAACTTGGTAGACACCCATTAGAACATGTTTCATGCCTCATATCTTTGCTCTGGCTCTTTGAGTTCTTTACAAGCAGATTTTTTAAGTTTTTACTATATGCATATAGGGAAAACCAATGACCCCCTGGGGCGGGGCCAATTTTGACCCCAGGGCTTTTATTTGAACAAACTTGGTAGACACTTATTAGAACATGTTTCATGCTGAATATCTTAGCTCTAGCTCTTTGGGTTCTTTAAAAGAAGATTGTTTAAGTTTTTACTCTATGCATATAGGGAAAATCAATGACCCCCTGGGGCGGGGCCAATTTTGACCCTATGGCTTTTATTTGATCAAACTTGGTAGACACCCATTAGAAAATGTTTCATGCTTAATATCTTAGCTCTTTGGTTTCTTTAAAAGAAGATTTTTTCAGTTTTTACTATATGCATATCGGGGAAAAACAATGACCCCCCGGGGCGGGGCCAATTTTGACCCCAGGGATTTAATTTGAACAAACTTGGTAGACACTCACTAGAAGATGTTTCATGCCAAATATCTAAGCTCTAGCTCTAAGGATTTTTTAAAAGATATTTAAAGTTTTTTCTTTTGGTTGTCATGGCAACCAGAGTTCTGCATGGAATTAAATTCTTTGAACAATTTTGAAAGGTGACCACCAAAGGAACTTTCCTGTGAAGTTTGGATGAAATTGGCTTAGTGGGTTATGAGGAGATGTCATTTAAAGTAAAAGATTACGGACGGACGCCGGACGGATGATGAACGGAAGCCGGACAGACGCCGGACGAAAAGCGATCACAAAAGCTCACCCTGTCACTTTGTGACAGGTGAGCTAAATTAACAATGCATGTACATCTTGTATGTGCAATATGCAAAAAATGTGTAACAAACTGTACACAAAAAACTTAATCCAAATCACTGAAGAACAGAACCGATTATTTATTGATGATTGCAAA